CATTCCTGAAGTGTCCACTGCTATATGCTGATACTGTGCCTTTATTTGAAGTGAGAGAAAAAAGCCCATTAAAATTCTTTTAAGTAACTTGCTGTCATTTGCTTTAAAAAATGAATAATCAAAACACAGAGAGTAAAAGGGGGTTTTGTCTCCAAAGCAGGAAGGGAAGTATTTTTCAAACCTAAGTATGCACAACAGAGCCTGGCCATGAGCCTATTGGCATCTGTGTGTTGATCTGAATGAACTCTTAAGATGTCTGTTCTCCCACAGGACATGTACTGTTAAAAAAAAAAAAAAAAAAATCCATGACTGCTTTTAATCTACCTGAAATATGGGATACAGACACAGCATATTTCGTACTGGTTTTATACTACCCATGTTCCTTTCAGCCTGCTGCAGCATTATTAGGGTATTTCTGTTCCTGTATCACAGTATGTAACTAACATCTCCCAGAGAACCCACCCAGGGCCATATGAAGCCATCTGCTTTTCAGTTAGCAATGAATTCTTCTTACAGATATAGGGTACGGAACAGCTCACACTGTCACTCCGACAAATTACGCTGCTGTTTATTTAAGTAATAAAGGAATTTGTTCCAAACAGTTGGTTTTTTTCCAGCATTTGTTCTCCACATGTGGTTTGCTTCCTCAAGTGTTGATTTTTCATAGTTAAGAGACTTTTTCCTGCCTTTTATCCACCAGGCTAATCGCATTCTTATTCTTTTCTGTTTAATGAGAGCTGACATCCAGCTCAGTGCTCTCTAAAACAGGAAGCGATGTCGTTCCTGTTCCAAGGAGGTAACAGTTTAAACTGACCTCAGATGAATTGGACATATGGGAAATGGACAAATCCAGCCTTGTGATTATTTCAAATTGTTCCTGTTGTGAGAGGGAAGATGTAGTCAAGTCCCTTTGTCCCATCCTCCCGCATCCTGAAATGATCTGGCACCCAAAAGAATCGCTCCTGAACCCAACTGCCACAAACCGTGCTCAGCTGTTCACAACCTCCTCACCTGAGCAAACTTATCTCTCTGCTGCCTACCAAAGGGATCCCAGATTACCTTGTACGAGGAGGACTTGCTTTACACAAATAAAGCCACGATGAGCCATCTGCCAGATTCTCCATTCCCCTTTTAACACTTGCAGTTATGAACACCTGTACCAGGTGCGCTGTGTCACACACACCCCCATGAAGTTATTCAAGAGGTAAGGTCAGCCCCATACAACAACATACAGCTGCAGTAGCTGCAGCAGACTGCCTCATCTGCCCATGGATATGCCCTCATTTATCTAGAGCGCGCTCTCTTGCAAGTATCCCAAATTCAGAATTTCATAACAAATTCCTATTTGTTATCCTGATCAACACAGAAACTGAGATTTCTTGAAGTAGCACATTTTCTTAAGGAAAGGAGCCATGTTCTGACCATCAGCTTTTCTTCTAACAACTCAAATTAATTACAAGAAAAGCAGCAATCACTTTTGAAAATGCATATGGTATAAATGGTGTAAGTGTAATTTACTGCATTGTACCTATTTCTGACCAGGCAAAGCAGCAGGACTGAAACACAAAACTCAAGTGAAAGTTTAAAAAGAATATCTGTGCTCCAAAACCAAAGCATTCACTCAAATTCCTGCAAGCCAGATCTGCTGAGTCAGGCATCGCTCTGCTCACTGGCTCCAACTCTGACAAATCTATTTGCTTCTCTCATAGCAATGAAACATGTTTTACTTTTTTATTATGAAAATTTGTATCTGAAAGAATTGCATGAATTTTACAAAAGAAAGTAAAGACAAGATATACCTGCCAACCTGACAGCATCTCTGGCTGTCAAATGATTAACACAGTTATCACAGCTGGTAAAAAACCAAACCCAATAGCTGCAAAGGGTATTCACCAGAGCCCATGAAGGAAGAACAACCCTCCCCAGCATTTTAATGTCTAAAGCTGAAATTTAGTCTCATGTGAACTGGGAGTCTGAGAACACTAAACCCTCTGCCTAGAGGATTAGTATTTTTTTTTTCTTTATGCAAGGCCTTTGAAACCAAAAATTTAAGCTTTGCTATGTTCAGTAACTAGCCACCTCTTGGTATCTCTAGCTACCTTTCTGCCCTCAAGGAATCAAGTTAACAGAATTGCAGTAACACATGAACTTCAGAAGAAAGGCTGATCTAAAGTTACAGAAGATTTTAGCTGGAGAAGAGGTGCTTAATGCTGCTTGGTCAAGAGAGCATTATGGAGTGAGAAAGAAAACCTTTGTAAAGAGATTTCTAAAATGGTACAAACTTAAGTAATGCTTTGAGTTATGCAAAAAAATAAGTAACAGAACTTAAAGGTAATGTCAAAATCTGCTGTCTATCACAGAGCTTTGCTGACTGCCTCATCATGACAAACAGGGCAAATGATTTCTGTCCACTGTGGAATTTATTTGCTCCCATTTATGAGATTCTAAGACTACAGAATGTAAATGGGGGATCTAGCATTTCTAGAAAAGACCCCTCACACACACCTCACTCCCAGAAAAAGGAAAATTAGAAAATGTATTATATAATTTTAAAAATTCTCTGCAAGTTATGACACAAAGGTGCTGAAAATGAAGGAGTAACACAAGACAGATGTCTAAAAAAGCCATTAACTGATAGGTGGGATAAATATACAACTTAGTCCTTTACTCCATCTTCTTAAATACTGCAGAAGGAGAAATACAAAATTGACTAGTTCTCTTACTTCCAGGCAGAGAAAGTAGGCTGTGTGAACTTCTTCATTACTCCCTCTAGCTACAATCAGTAAGTGAACTAAACATCTACATTTAATCTGGGATCTTTCTATTATAATGACACCATATCTGCAAATACCTAAGCCCAAAAGTCCTGGGCCTGCGCAAACCTAGAGATTTCTCTGAAGGCCAGGGTCTCAGACTTGGATACTCTTTCTCTTGGTAGCAAACAAACTCCAGTTATTGTTGCACTTTTTTTTTTTTTTGTATATTCCTGTGCAGCTTTTTTACCCCTTGAAAAGTGATCTCAGTCTGCAGGTGAGCACATCTTCGCCCAACTTCTATTAGTATGGACTACTATGATCAATTTTAGCTTGTTTACACTTCAGAATTCATTTGCTTCAATTAAACAGTGGCCAAGAATATGTTGCATCTATGTTCAAAATTCTTGGAAAAGGCAGGTTCTTAGCTTGTTAACAGACATCTACCCAAAGCTCTTCTGGTGGTATTATTATTAGCAGCCTCTCCAGCTGAGCATCTGTATCAGGCAGGTCTCGGTGTGGTGTGAGCTGCTGCTAAGACCCAGGAGATTCACAAGCTACCATGCAGTAGGGAGCAGTTTGCAGCCTCTGCACTTCCAGCAACCAACACCTTATTTTGTAGAGAGCTAACCCTGCTTTCCTTTGAGAGACATGATTCCTATCTACTAAATCCTTTGGGTAAGTCAATAAACAAGTACACAAGAGGAAATCTGATTCACGTGACCAGATTGTATTTTAAGAAGACTTCAGTGGAGCAAGGCAATATCTGTCCTATTCAACACTAAACTAGTTTAGTGCCTTGGAAAACAAGATGAATAGTCAGGTGGTAAAAGTTGATTCATCCAGATTCATCCAGATGACGGCTGAGAACAAAAGCTGCAGGCAGGTCTGAACACTGAGTGCCTAGATAGTGAAACAGACAGTTGAAATTCAGTATAAATAAAGCGATGAATATGGAATAATTAAAACAAGAAGTTTCAGCTTCACAGTGCAGAAATAAGCACTGAGTTAATATGAAAGAAATGAGGCCCCAGTTTTAGGAGACCTAAGAAAACATCAGTTCAAAACTAGTAGTGGTCAGAAAAGCAACTGGGGAAATTAAAATAAAAGCAGAAAATGCTCTTGTATCTTGAAAGCTTTTTAACAAGACAATCGGAATGCAGCATACAGGAAGGATACATGGATGACCAAAAGGTTACAAGGGCCTCTCTGTGTAACACAGTTAAGTAGAACGTCGTCTTCTTTAAGCTGTGAAGCCTGAAGGTGATAGAGCAAAACTGTAAATATCAGGAGTGCTTCAAAGCTGTTCACTCTTTCTTCCAGTAAAAAAAACACACAAACAAAAAACCACAACAACAAAAAAAGCAACTAAGAGGTATAAAATAAAACTGCAATGTGTAAGATAAAAAGGAATAAATATAATTCCACATGACGTGTAGGTAAGCTACAGAAATTCTCGACCCATGCTAAAAAAACGTCAAGGATTCAAAAAGGGACTGGACAAACTCATGACAGACTATCCACCAAGAACTTCAGATACAGATATACCACTTCTGGCTCAAATTTGTGAGCTGAAAAAAAGAAAATTAAAAAAAACCTGGCAGCTAGGAAAGTATTCTGGGTAAACAGTATGTTCTGGGCCATCTTAATATTCCTTCCAAGGTATCAATGGTCAGAAAATATAATGGGCTAGATCGATTTTTGGTCTGATTCAGTACAGCTATTCTTACTGCTCAGCAATCTACTAACCATTCACACCAGATAAGCAGAATGATTGGCTTGAATTAGCTAATTTTTATTATGATTTTAGTTAAACCAGGGAAGTGAAAGTTTATGCGTAAGTTCCTCAGTTATGGCCCACATGTGTGAGGATGTGAGGTGTATATACTGGACTGAGATGTAGTTTATGGAGTATTGACTGACAATGCTTGAGGAGGAAAAAATGAATGACTGCAGGAGCCCTTCATGACAATCTGTATAAAATAGTCAATTCAGAACAGTAACATGAAATCCATGTTTACAAATCCGAAAAAGCAACACACAGAAGAACAGGAAAAGTATATTTAATTTTCTATTAAACTTCCAAGCAGAATACATTTTCCCAAAACAGAAGTTAAAGCTTTTACATTACTGGTAAGAATTTCATAATGATCAACACCAGATTTTCTCAGGAGAAAACAGGTAGAATGTTGGTTATACTCCCTCTCTGCTCTCCTGGCAAACCTAATCTTTTTTCAAGGTGAAGTACTATCAAATCTTGTGAATCTCAAAGCAATGTTTCTAGTTCCTACTTACTTCTGAATATTTTATTTTTTAATTCCAAAGTAGTAATAAGAAAAGTATTTTATAGCAAATTCCTAAAGCCTATTCTATAAAAATGTTGTTAAGAGATCCCCTTTATAAGACCATCTTAGTTTAAGCAGCAGCAAATTTGTTAGAATGGAAGCCTGAAAGCATTTGACCTGTTATTACAGCTTTTAAAAAAATGCAATTCATTTAATTATGTCAAACTATTTATAACCATCCTTACTCTCTTCCTGACTAACCTGAACAACAGTAAGAAGCCTCATTCAACTCAAAGTTCTATAAAATTTTTCATATTGATTAAAACAAAAACTGTCACAAATACCCACCATATACCATTTGTAAGAGTTCATGCCTCAAGCTTAGCCTAAAAATCTTTGCCACAGATGAACCGATGGAATTTATTAAGAGAATTAAGGTCTCTAACCACAGAATTTAGGTGAGAGGTCAAGTCAAACCCAGCCTGTGCCATATTATTGATAAAGTCTAGTTTCATTCTACTTTTTTGTCAAGAATATCAAGTACTGACTGTTTACTCTAATGAGCCTAAAGTTTAGCTTTGCCTGGCTGAAGCTGGAGATTCTGAAGTTTCATTGCCATACCCATGTTCCCAGAAATCTTCAATTTGCCTTGAAAGAATGCCTAAAAAGAAAGAAAGATGATATGAAATGCAATACAACATATTACCCCAAATGCAGCCCTCCCAAAAGATATGGACTATTATGCATGTGCAGGTCCTGGCCTGCAGTTTTACAATTCCACCAGTTCTAGCCAGTATCTCACATTCATCAGCAAATGTATTTTCTGACACTAGAGGGTAGAATAGTAAACTGAGGAAGTTGTATGCTTATTATATTTGTGATACCTGAAGAGAATAAACTTGGTAGTGCATGTTTCTTGCATTGTCGTAACGATGGACCTGTATATAAAGCAGGTCAGAATACACAGTGTTTTGGTGATGACAGTTCATAGAATAAAAGTTTACTATTTCAATTGAAGATGATAAAGCAACAGTGTACAGTAGATGCCGCAACTGATTTCTTACTCAAATCCCCCCCAGCCATTACTGACTTTGTTACTGATTAATTCGGTTTTACAAATCCAGTTTGTGAAACAGACACCCTGAAGATTTGGGTTTTTTCCTCCAGACCTTGTAAAAAGATGAACTGCATGCACTAAAATATCCAAATTGTAGATGTAAAATTGTAATTGCTTCTGAATTTCCTACATGTACATTACAACATTTCTATAATGTGTTTTACCTTCACACTTAAACACCTTTACACATTTCCTAGATACACTTTGGTTTGTGAAAACTCTTATCTACCCTGTGATTACCAGACCAAAAACTTAAAAGCATGTTACCCAGAGCATTTCAAATTTAGAAGTACGGAACAGCAACTAAAAATTAACTTAAATGGTCAGTTTACTTGTACACTATGGCTGCTTTTGACACACTTAGGAATTAAAAAACCCCAAATAATCATAGGTATTCAGTGGATACTCACCTCAATTTCCATTTTTCAGCATCAAGATTACTCCTTATACTAATGCCAACTGTAAGCATAAAGCGCTCCAAATAGAGGGCCAACATTCCTCCTTTCTTAAGTCACACTGCAAGCACTAGTTTCCCCCTCTTCTCTGCAAACCAAGCACTATTATATCCCCTTCTGGATTACCTACAGGATGTCTGAGATAATACGTACCTGTTCAGAAGAGTAGATACTGTCTTTCCTGATTAATCTTACTTTGGCCAATTTGTTCAGAGAAAGTCAGAGACGGCCATTTTTCAGATCAGCCATGGCAGTTTTGGAGGAGGGGATTTATTTAAATGATTTCAACTTCAACACACTCAAAAAAAGTCAGTCCTCTTATCTCATCTGTGCTATACTTACTGTCTGAGGATTCATTTTGCCAGTCATGAGAGCTAATAGATCAGTGTCAGCCATTGTAATTGTACAATCCGCCTTCTTATCTGTAAGACAGAGTTGACTATGAAGACTCAAACTGAGAGATGAAACAGTAAGAGAAGCTGCAACTCCATGAAGAACCTGTTGATACTACAGGTTAGCAAAATGGTACCTGAAGTACCTACAAATAAGGGCCATTGTAAAAACATCAGCAAGAGATCATCCAATACTTTGTACCTTTGCCATGAAAATGTCTTTTCACGTCTTTTTGATCATCCAACAGGCATCTGTGCCACCCTGTAGCACAGATCATCCCAACACTGAAGAAAGATGGACCTTTCTAAAAGGTGCTAAGCAAATTCATTCCTTGAAAAGAAATAATAATCTACTTCTAATCAGATAGAATGTTAATTGCAAGTATGATTCTATTGACAATAATCTGAAGTTTTATCAAGCTTAAATTTTCTACTATTAAGATGAGCTCAGGATAAATGTGTTTATCCCTGTGACACTCTGAAGATACTCATCACTGAAATTTCAGGCATTTCCTGCCCTCTCCTTCAACAGGAACAACGTGCATTCTAAAAGCACTTATTTTAATTAATTCAAATCCAGAAGTTTTTAGGATCTTCTTACCAGAAATAAGCTGAAAAGAATATTTTAATAAGTGCTGATAGAAATATAATGTATATACCAAAGGGCTAAAAACTGCACACATCTTTTCCTAGAGTCATCTTTAACATTAAACTTAGCTTTTTGAAAAAATGTTGTCCATACAACAGAAAACAGTACTTTTCTTTCTGTAACAACTTAGATCAATGAGTTCCAAATCAAACCCCCATCATGTTTTTAATTAAAAACTTTATGATGCAGGTTCATGAATATATGAGATTCTGAGGACAGACTGCTTTTGGCTTTTTATTTACATTACTAGGATGCATGGCTTCAGATACACAACAAGACTTTTTCATGGCAAAGGTACAAATCCTTTGTTTCCAATACTTTTACGGGGTTCCCCACCATCACCCAGTCTGTGTCTTATTTATGTCTTTTAAAATGGAACTTGAAGTTTATGTTAGCTGGTACAGTATTGAAATCAGTCAAGCTTTATTGCTTAACTAGCTGCAGAGGAGAAGTAACTTGACGAGATAGACCAGCCTACCACCTACCAGTGTATCCAACAAAGCAACTGAAGAAACAGCTACAAATTACATTTCTGGCCCAAATTTTAAGAGGCGAGAACAACAAAAGCCCTGAGGTTTGAAATTTTGGGTTGTTTTTTTTTTTTTAATTCTGATTCCTGTAAAAGTCATATGACAGATCTGTCAGAGCCTCTAAGAAAACATGCAATTATCTAGACAGAATTCAGAGTAGAAGACATTTAATTCTGGGTCCTAAACATCATGGATTAAAAGTGTCAGTAATAACAAAAGTTTACAATTAAGGTAGCTCTACATCACTTTTGCTCAAGGTCACTATAGCTTAAACAGAATATGAATTCATATTCTTTTCATTAGTTTTATGTGTTTTGTGCAGTAATATAATAAAATAGCACTGACCTGAATTAACTGCCACAGAGCCTTTACCATTTTTCACATCTACTATCCAAGTTGCTTCTTTCCCACCAGGACCATCTTTTATTTTGAAGGCAAAGACTCCACCAATTTTCTTGACAAATTGCTCTCCTTCCTATAATGACCATATAATATGCAAATTATTCATTTACTTCAAAAGAATTTTAAAACAGTCTGAATTAAATAGAAAGTAATTTAAAAACTTTTACCCTTTCTACTAACATAGAAATATCTACTTCCCCTCTATTAGGCTTCACTTAAATAACCATTTAAAAAAAACCAACAAACAACCTGCCCCCCAACACAAACTATGACTATCTATATTAAAATCTATCAACTAAAAAAAATGACTGTCCTAACAGTCTTGTCTTGCTGCAAGTCTGACAAAATGTGATTTCTTCTTCTAATCACACTTACAAAGCAAGCAACAAACACCAAACACAAAGTTTCTTGTGTTAGTTAGCAAGCTCGTCACATACAATCTAAACTTGCCTTTACTGAAACACCCTTATGCAGGTCTGGAAAAAAAATAAATCATGGCACAGCATAGAAAGATTTCTGACACAGTGAAATTCCAAGCTGTAACACTTGTTTCAATGAGCACTACTGAGGAAGTGATTGATGCTACTGTATTTCCACCAGGTTTCACACATGTTCTGTCATAAATTAAAAACCTGTTGTAGGTAGAAGAAGTAGTCAAATACCTCTTGGAGCTTCTTTTCAATCTCTTTGAAGACCAAATGTGACTTAAATCCATCAACAGCTGCGCTGAGAGGCACAGCTGCAATACGTCTGATGCTGAAATGAAAAACCCATTCATTTACATACCTTTAATCATATTTTCAGCATCTTCAAATTATCATGACTAGGTCTAACACCAGCAAGCCATGCTGAAACACCTTAGCAGTACAGAGCAACTATATGATATCTAAGTGAAGCTTACTCTCTGATGGGCTTGACATCTTGAATTACAACCAGTTCAAGTATCTAGATGTTTCTCCATGTATGGACAGGGCACTAATTTTATAATGAAAGTAAATCATTAATCATGTTAAGATAAATCAGCAAATGCTACCACCACACCTTGTGTGAAGAGAGAGCAGCATCTGCACGATCTCAGAGAGCGGTTTTTTTTTTGGCAAAACAAATCCTCTTTTCCCTCCCAATTCATGTGGGTCTCTTAACAGCCCCAAGAGGTACTAAGCATTATTCCAGATTCTCTGGAGCAGTCATCCTCCATGGCCTGACAGTATCATGAAACCTAATTCTTCATTTCTGCAGAGGCACCCAGAGTCAAAGTAAATACAGAGATGTCCAAAGAAACGGCAATTCAAGCAGCAGGAAAACCAAGTTTACAATTATTACCATCTCTTGGCATCAGAGTTCAAAACCGTGGTCAGGTCTGATACTGTTAAAAGTGACAGAATCACTTAAGAAATGTTGCTAAAACTTGTATTTCTGTGGTACTAACACTACCCTATAGATGTGTGCTAGGGTAGCAATAGTAGGGACTGTCTCGTCTGAAGAAGACACATCAATTTTGCTAATAAACCAAGGCTGTACTAACAGGATTTAAAATTGTAAGGTGTCAAAAAAAAAAAAGGCAGAACTGTTTCAAAGACTAATCCAATATGGGTGAAGTCCTGCTGTTATTTACCTTGATGTACATTCTTGGTAGCTGTTACTAAAGCTACTATTACAGCCTAGATCTGAATCCAATGATTTAGTCTATGTGCATTTCTGTAGAAAAAATAGTATGAAGTATCTTCATAAACATGAAATGCCACCACCTTACCATTAATTACACAATATCATTCGATTACATAAGCGGTATCTGAACAGATTAGCTGCACTGTTTCATTCCAACGTGTGATACACATTGGTGCAACTCCTTGTGTCAGGTTATCTCCCACACACAAAGCCTCTGGAAGAACTAAAGGTTTTTACGCTTCTCTAATGTAAGATGAAACTAGTATTGCTAAGATTTCTCTGGTTTGAGTTGTATCCAAGAAAGAATTTAAAAAAATTCTCAGTACCAACGAAGGTGAAGTGAGCTGTAGTAAATTAGACTTCATTTCCACAAGAGAAATATTATCTATACATGCAAAGCTTTTCCTGACAGGAAGGCACTACTTCTAGCAGTACCTCAAGGTTAATGGTATACAAATAGCACCAGATTCCCTGTTCCATAAAATTACAGTATTTTTAAAGACAAAGCTCAAAGCAATGGAAAATAGTATATTCCCTATAACAGTCTTTTCCCCTGTGATTTAAAACTGTGTACCAACACCCACTGCCAAGTTTTGTGACCATATTTGAAGAGAATCCATGAGAAGACAGGATTTTTCCTGTATCACACCTATTTTCTCATATGGTCTAACTTCTTACAGATTACAGAAGTGAGAGGATTATCACTTCTGACACTGTACTACAAAAAGCTACTGCTGCAGCCCTTCAAACTTCAATTGCTTCTCTCATTACCTCTTCCACAGATTATACTGTCACCTCCCAGGAATTGTACAGGTCTAGCTAAAACAGACATTAGAAATATGAGTTGGGAGAGGAATATTTCTTTCTGGAAGTCCAGTACATGATAAATTTTGCTGTTCACAGGTTTTTAGAGCAAATATAAAGTATTGGCATCAAGCTTTAAAACCAAAACTCATAATACCCACAAAGAGTAGCTCATCTTTCTAAGCAAAGTTGAAAGTGAAAACATAAAGGAAACTGTATTAAAAAAGTCTCTCCTGAAATTCTGGTATATTTACAATTTTTAAGTATTTTTTCTCAATTCCTGTCCATCCTAGCATAAAGCTACAGCAGATTGCGAGACAGTATCATAGCAGTATTCTCCTCTCACTCTGAAGTATGCTACAATTGCAAGTGCAAATTCTTTAGCCAGGACTGGATGAGTAACATGCCTGAATTCTAACGAGTACTTAGAATACCACATCTAACACATACAGCTGAAAGCAATTCTTCATGAAACCAATCTATTAACAATTTTAGAAGTGAAAGCAGTGGGTATCTATTCCCACGGATGTCTTGCTTTTTTTGGCACCTCCCTAGTTTCAATTAATTCATTTTAATGTGGCCTGTTTTGTTCTTGGAAGGGTTTTTGTTTGCTTTGTTGGCTTTTTTCCCGCCAAACATTACTTTTCCTTACAGGAAATCATGCAAGCCATTTTATGGGCCAGTTTGCTCTTTTCAGTAATTTAGAACTCACAGTGCATATTGTTTATCAGGAATAAGACACTGTGTGAGTTATGGTCTGCGTATACACCTGCAGTGCTGTAGGTACACAACAGTTGCAACTGCTGTGCAAGTTTTAGTTTACAGTGCAGCTTCTTCCTTGCACAGAGGCAAACAATAATTCTAAAAAAACCAATGTGAAACACAAAGATACGGGAGGACAGTCAACACAAAGTATGCTTAGTTTACACCACTACTGAACCCATGGTGAAAGCTTCCAAGAAGAGCATAACCAGTACCTGTACACCAATGCTGAACGAGCATTTTCATTCAGCAGCGCACCTTCTTGTACTCTACAGAGATACGGTCCGAAAAGTGACTATTTTGTAAGGTCTTTCGGTACACACGGTGATTTTTTGTCTCCTCAAGAAGTCAGCTACACGCAGAGGGCAGACGCTCAACTGCCCCACTACTTCTTCCCCCAGGGCATCACGCAGTGGAATCGGACCACCTCGCCCCGGTTCCGCGCTGCGGGCAGCCGCAGCCCCGCGGGGCTCTCACCTGGCTCCGGGGAAGTTCATGCCGTAGAGGGTCACCACCGCGGCCCCGCCGAGGCCCAGGTTGTGCTGCAGCGCGACCTTTGCCCCCGGGACCTGCCTCTTCCCGGCCAGACCGCGCAGCTGCCAGCA